TATTCAAGATTATATTATTGTATATTATTATGACACCATGAAACAAGATTTTGCAGTTCTCTATATGACAGATCTTGATCTTTAATTCAATAAATGATTTATTTCATGTGAGGTGATCAAATAATATATGAATCTCAAGCAAGAGAAGACCAAAGAGAAAATTCAGATTCTTTGGCTATTTCATTCTCTAGAAGATCCCAAAAAAATAGATGTGAATAGTTTGAAGAAATGTGGAAAAATCTGACCAATAGTATGCATTGTTAAATGGTTTCTTCTAAAAGCTTTATGATATCTTATTTAATCACGCATTTTTTACAAGTTATCCTTTTTCAACAAAAAAATTAGGATATTTTCTTTGATAGTTGTAAATTTATTTGATTTGACTTCTTGAGGAGAAGTCAATATAATTTTAGTACAAAAGTATGGAGTTTCTGAAAAGAGCTATAGTCAAAAACTTTTTGTTTTTCCCTTTTTAAATACCCACTTTTTTATCTTCATCTTTCTCTTCCCCTTTCTCTTCTTCTTCTTTATTTTACAAGTCTCTAATATTTTGTAAAATTTCTCACAATTGATTTTGAGTTTTTTACTGCAATCTACAATACTTTGGACAGTCAGAATTATTCACAGAATTTAATAATAAATTGATAATTATTAAAAGCTTGTCTTTCATTATGTTCTCTTCATTTATAGCTGCATCAGCTTCTTGAGCAGTTACAGATATTGGCCAAAATAAAGAATTTTTGTTGTTTACAAAAAAGTCTTTAATAAATATAATTTGTCATTCATATACTAACTTATTAAAATCTTTTAATTGCTTACTAAATAACTCATCACTCAAGCTTTTAAATATTCAATTATCATCTTGAGGACTTAAAAACTCAGTTTTTCATAATTAAACTTGAAATTATTATAATTCTAAGACAAAGTCTGGATGTGTATGACCTTCTGATGATTCATTATTAATATGTCCAATTGTATTAAATAACATATAATGTAACTAGTTTGTCATTATAAAGTTTTAAATTAGAAACACTTAGTATCAGATCAGTACATATTTAATTGTAAATGATTATTTATCTAAGATATTAATCTAATCTTCATAAATTTTGTGCAGTTTCATACCACTATTTTTCAATGTCAGTAGGTGAGTGTGAGTAGAATCAAAGCTTTTAAGACTTTATTAACTTCTTCAAGAATTCTATCAAGTTCTTGATGTTGATTATGGTAATCTGATCATGAAAGAACAGAATATGATTCTATGTGTTGCCTAATTTCAGGATGTAATCATAATAATTGATTTTCATCTGTCACCTTAATAACATAATATATAAGATGTCTATGACCAGACCAAATTAGAACAAACATGTACCAGGCAGCATTTCTTAATAATAGTCTATTATTTCTAACTCCCATATGAAAATTAATAATTGCCTAAAGGTAAATGAATGTTTATAATAATTTATTAGTTACAAAGTTTTAGATATATAATACATTTGATATTTTTAGTTAAAAAATTACCTGTTTGAATTTCAACTTATAAATATAATTATTTTGTCTTTTTACCTAATAAAGATAATTATCAACTGAAAGATTTTTAGTCTCAATTACATATGGCTATAATAACTCATAAGCAATAGCATCTTGGTAAATATTGCAAATAGAATCTCATAATTTATGATGATTAACGCATTTTTTAAAAAATTCAAGCTAATTTTCCATTCTATATTCTTGGCAAATAGTGAATTATTTAATATCAATAGTTCTATAAAAGCATTAGTAAAAATAAAGTATATTAAACAAAAAAAGGTATGTAATAAAAATAATATCAATTTATTTCTACAAATACTTTTAGCATATTCATTTCTTCATGCAAAGCGTCAGAAACTAATATAAGTCATAGAAAGTTCTTTTTGATTTTTTGAGCTAGATTGTAAGGAACTTTATTACAAATAACTGGTACCCATTTTCACATTACTTGATCTACCCCTACAATAAGTTGTATGTATTCTAAAATCTTCTTGATATTATTTACTGAATTAGGATTAATCTCTAATGAATCTGATACATATATTTCTGGAATAATAATATCTTGATCAGGTATATTTTTTTATGTAATACTAATATGCTCAAAGTAAGAGGTTTTTGGCTTTTGGGTGAATGTGTGAGGTTTTATTATAAGCGGCTTTGATTAGAAAATTTTGTCATTGACTTGAATAGATTTATTGGCAAATTCTGCTTATAAAATAGCTAGAATAGCTAATTTTATATCGCAAATAGAATAATTACATTTTTGATTATTAATGTTAGTTGTATTATATTTATTATACTATTTTAACTGATTACTGAAACCTTTTTGATTTTCTATAATTAGATCAATAGTATTTGATTAGTTTTTCTTTTTGATAACAAGATTAATAATAGATAAATATTCAATTCTTGCTCACATTCAGTCTTTATTGCTGATATAGGATAATATAATTCTTCACATTAAAGAGGTAAAAGAGAGATATAAAATCAAGAAGTATTTGTAAATTGAGTTTGATCATATTTATTCAAATTAAACATCACAAAGCTTATAATTATATGATAGATTATAGTATTGTATTCATGATTAAGATAATTATGCTGATCTTGTTATTCATTATCAAAAGCCAAAAATAAAAGTTCTTTAGATAAAGATTCTTGATCATCTGCTAGTGATTCCATCCAATTGATAAATTTGGTATAACTTCCAGAACTAATAATATAATTATCAATATCAATAATTATTTTAGAATGCACTAAAGAATATTTAATTACTGATGTCATCAGGTTTATTTCAGATACATACTTTCCATATCTTGCTTGATCCATAAATTGCATCAACAGCAATCACTTTTTTGAAGACTTTTTCTTATAAATTAGGATCATTAGAGTTAGAATTATTATGAGTTAAGGTTTTGATAAAGTTAACAATAACTGGATTATGTTTGGTTAACCAACTTTGAGACATATAGTTCAATAGATTATCAAGTAAAAATCTTTGCTTGTTCAATATTAATGATTCAATATTATTATATACATTTTGATATTCTTGTTGTGCAATTTGAATGATTGTATTGATTCTCTTTATTTGGCTATCAAATTGAGTCTCTTGTATGTGTACCATAGTGTCATTTTTCTTACACAATATTTGATTACACTCCCAGCTCTCTATCACATAATCATATGCACAATCTAGTTATTTTTGAAGATCATATATTTCAACCTGGAGTAAATAAATATGATTCTTAAGATTTTATAATAACTCAGATACTATTATATTAATTTGCACACCTATTTCATGAGTAGTTTATTGTTGAGTATCAATTTCACTAGTTATTACCTGATTTATTGTTTCATTTATCTGAATCTGTAATATTGAATCTGATTTGCTATATCAAGTTCATTTTTTGCTACTTTGCAAAAAATGAGTTTGATCAGGATTTAGAAGACTTTGTCACAAGTGATCATAAACAATAAGTTGATTATAATATCTTTCACACAAAAAATAATCTTTTAAATAAGCTTGAATTGTAATTAATTCAGGGAAAAATTCATTGTATAATAGAAGCTGATTTTTTGATTCTTTGCTACTTGCATGTCATTTAGTTTATATTTCTTTGGTCTCGTATTCTTTTAATTCTTGACTATGGTATAACAGAACTAAGTTTGCAAGAGCACAAGATAAATCTTTTGCCTGAAGCTGTTGACCTGATTCCACTGGTGTTCATAAAAAAGTAAATGATTAGACTTAGTTGCAAATGAATGTAAGAAACTTATTTTTCTAACTGTCATACTTTTGAAAAATGAGTAGATTATAACAAAATATCAACTGATTATAAAACTACATACCCATTACTTCTTATTTTCATAGTGGCTAAGTTGTGATATTGTTGAAATTTTGTGAGAAACTTATCATGTGAAATTTGAAAAATTTGCACATTCAACAATTCAAGAGCCAATCAAAAATTACAAATTTTCATGTAATATTCTAGAAGATATTCTGTTATACAAATCCGATTTGGAAATCTCCTAGACTGTATTACTTTTGATAATTATTATATATAAATAAAAAAATATATATAATAAAATAAAATATATTTTTTATAAATAAATTTATTTATAAACTTATTTTTTTATTTTATATAATTAAAATTAGTATAATATATATTCTTATTAAAAAAATTTCAAATTTTCTTTTTAAAAAAATATTCTTTTTATTATATTATAAACTATAAAAATATTTTCTAATTCTTTATTATAAAAATAAAATAAAAAAAATACATATAATTTAAATAATTATGATAAATAAAATATTATATATTTAATTTTTAATAATAATTATTTTATTATAATCTTTATTTAAAAGAATTAAAATCTAAAGATAAAATTTATATTAAGTCACACCAGCAACATTTATTTAAAAAACAAAAATTTAGAATAAGTATAACTAGTAATTAATAAAAATATAATCAAATCGGGAGATCCTTTGTTGATTTGGTGATTGAGGTCATCAAGATTGACGATATTAATAAAAATAATATTGTTGTTAGTATAAGAAAATATTTTCAGAATAAAGATTTTTTAGAACCCTCTCTTCTTTTATATATATTTGATCGTGTATTTATTATTCAAATCACAAGGATTTTGTCTATGAGATCATTTTCATCATATGATCACATGCTCCAACAAAACATGATTGGACAATCGAATAATATCTACATCTATAACCCGATGAGATTTTTTACAAGCAATGTTTGTAATATCATTACCAAATAGTTCCCTACGCTACCGTTTTACATTCTCTTTATTTTCTTTGTCTATATCACCTTTAGACTTAGGTAAAGCTATATCAATAAATATTTAGGTTTCATATCGCTTCAACCCGTTTCTGACTGTACCTAGTCTCCTCAAGACAAGTACAAGCGCATACAAACAGAAAATGCTCTCAACGAATAATAACACAATCATACTCTATCATGTCTCGCGCGCGTCGTCTTGCAGGCTTACCACCGCCTGCGGACTCAATTGGCGAAACGCATATAAAAGCAACAGTGCTAAAAGAGGATGAAAAGGCCAAAGTGAAATCACACACTAGAACACGACCACAAAAAGTTTATGTACCGAAAGTTGCAAATTCTATGACGTCTCCTACTCCCTCGTTGCTCTCTAAATCTTTGTTTGGTATTAATAAAAAAGAAGAAAATAATAGTGAAAGCTTGAAAATTCCCCAGGAAGTCATTAAGAGAGGATTCCGGAAACCAGTTAAGGAAGTAAAAGTGACGCCATTTCCACCTTTTGAACTAAAACAAGCGGGTAACTAACCATATTTTATTTATTTGATTAATTATATGAATCTCTCAAATTTAATATTTCTTTAAATGATAAAAACAATACATCAAATACACGAAAAAAATAGGAATAGAAAAACGATTACCACCGATTATCGGAAAAGACCAAGAAGTGATACAACCAGTGGATCCAGAAGTCTTAAAAGTAGTTATACTTGGCACGCCGAATTCCGGAAAATCAACATTACTGAATGGGTTAATTGGCGAAACTGTAGTTATTTGGTCTATTATTAAAGTTGTTTGCAATTTTAAATTTTCATTAATTTTAAATTTTTTAATTTTTTTTGTAAATCCAGGTTTCGGTTGTGTCGGATAAAGCACACACAACCAGAGAAAGGATCTTGGCAGTATTAACAGAAGATAATAAACAGATTGTTTGTATTTATTTACTTTCATTTATTTACATTTATCTCGTAATTTGTTTAAAAGAAATTGCATTAGATATTTTTAGATACGCCTGGTGTGGTAGCAGGTCACAATCACATACGCATGAATCGACATCTATTGAATGCGTCATGGCACTCGATAAGAGAAGCTGACCATTGTATGAAAATCTTTAATTTATCTCTCTTTATTTGTTTCATATTCTTTCATATATTCATATAAATATTTAATTTTTTACGTAAAGTACTGGTACTCGTCGACGCATATAGAGCGGCACATCGTTCAACATTTACGGAAAATTGGATGTTTGATCGCTTAAATGAGTACCAGTTGCCTGCTACTTTAATATTAAATAAGGTATCGAATGTAAAAAACAAAATTTTATTCATCAAATAAATTGTTAATTTTACGAGTACTTTATAAATAGATTGATCTCTTGTCGAATAAAAATGTGATCCCTCGATTAAACGAAACTTATTCAAGAATATACAGTCATATTGTGGATAAAATTGCCATTTCAGCATTGAATAATTATAATCTGATAGCATTGAAGGTATCGTATATTATTAATCTCTCTATTAATGTCGATTATTATGTAAAGATTTAAAAAAGACCCCTGTTAAAATACTGAAGATGTATATCACACCAGGAATTATTGTTTTCAAAAACGCGTCCACATAAATGGCTCTACGCGCCCGAACAAAAAGTAGAAATGGGGGAATTGAAACGCGTCGAGGAATTTATCCGTGTAGAGTTTTTCAAGAGATTAAAAAGTTATTTACCGTATATGTTAACTCAAGTATGCTGCTTCTTTATTATCGTTGATTTTTTGCGAATTAAATTCTAACAATATTGTGCCTGTCTTTTTATAGGAAAACCTCGGTTGGACAGAGCTCAATGATGGTACATTACGAATCGACCAAATAATCTACGTGGAAAAGAACACACAAGAGGTATTTATCAATTCACGTTAAACCGAGATGCTATAAAATCCTAATTTCTTTTACTGATTTTTATTTATAATGTTAGAAAATCATTATAGGAAAACAAGGAAGCATAATAAGTGAGGTAGCACTTCGTGCACAGGAAGAAATTTCGAGAGCTTTAAAGAGATCAGTGAAACTTTTTTTTGACTGTTCGTATAAAACCACAATTCCGTCGATAAATCTTAAAATATTCTAATGTGGCAGAAATCATTTTGAGCGCAGTTTTGAAAGAAGTTTCCGATTTATCAGAGCTTAGCAATTTTGTTTAATTTTAGTGCTCTATTACGATACCAACACGCCATACATTTTTCACGCAACAAAAAAAATGACTTCTACATATAGAATGACTTCTAATCATATTATCAACGATTGTTTATGCGAGCCAATAAAGCGTTGATTTATATAATTCAAGTATAAAATATAATCATATTCATTCATCTCGAATGGAGTCGCGAGGAACCAATTCTGGTGTCACGACTGAAAGGAGTTCGTTTGCAAGGTTGTACCTTGTGTGATTGACATTTGCGGCGAAATGGAGGTAAGGGTTGACGGTCAGACGAGGATGACGGAGGCCCCGGAAAGTGCAATGTTCGCCTCCGCGTTTGCATCTCTTTCTCTGGTGTGGTTGATCCTCCTTGCTGGGTACTGGGATGAACGCATTCGACGGCCCCATGCAAACGGACGACTTTTAAACTCACCTCACGAAAGATTAAAAATCCCTAATATTTTTATCATCGTAAAAAGTATACATTTTTAATAAATTTCAATACTTATAATAAAGGGCTTATTGAGGGGGAGAGGAGCTTATATAGTTATTCAAAGTAACCTGTCGCCTTAAAGAAATATCCTTAAAACCAAATTTCTTTCCTTAATTTTTTTAAACCCCGGTATATTTCTATAACTTGTTTAAGAAGATATTTAGTAATTCATTATTCTTTTTAATTTTTTTTTGACTTTAAAAATTTACAAGCATTAGAACTTTTAATATATAAAAATTATTGAATAATATTATTTATTAAGTATAAATAATCTTTAAACTTGATAAGAAATTTACTAACTATAATTAAGTATTTATATTCTTTTTTTCATAATATTAATTTTTCTAAAGATATTTAAATAACAAAATAATTATCATTAGAATAAAATAAATATTTATTATAATAAGAATATAAATTCTTTTTTTTATTAAATACAGTGGCAATCAAAAATAATGCAACGCTTAAATTTTTTACTAATTATAATTAGTAAAATATGTATTTT